TCGGTGAAATAAACTGTCGGTGAAATAAACTTGTCGGTGAAATAAACTTGTCGGTGAAATAATTGTCGGTGAATTTTGTCGGTGAAATGTTATGTCTACGAAATGACCGTCGGTGAAGTGATACGTATCCATACACGTATGTTATGCAATTTGTTAGATTTACTAAAAGATTTAAAATCTGATTTGTACTACCACTGCTATTTGACACTCAACTTAATCAAGTGCTTGATTATTAAGTTTTTACTTGATTTTGTTGAGCATTAAATGTAGAGAAAAGAGTATATCAGAATGAAGCTGTTATATACTTAAAACTGCTCTTGGATTTTATTACTTCAATTGGGGTGTTAGATACCAAATGATTAACTATCATAGTGTAGCATTATATGATTGGTCCACTATGTAAGATTTTTAAAATTTTGTTATAGTAAAAACTATGTATTTTAAATGTTATAACTTCCTTCCTAGTAAAGTAAATTCGATTCTTTAAATTGCAAATGATATAAAAATAGCGTTGTTTTAAATTATGATACCATATTTAATATTAATATATGAATTTTAGTATATAATTGTTTAAATAATATCTTTAAAACGTTCTAACTCCCGCTCTAGTAGAGCAAATTTAATTCTGTAATGTGTAAATGGCGTATAAATAGCTTGCTTTTAAAACTATGTTGCAATATTTAATATTAATATATAAATTTAGTAGTTCTCTATAATTTAATCGTTTAAATAATTGGTAAAATTTGTTAATTTGTCATTTTAGCCAAATTAATAAAATGAAATAAAAAATATCTCAACATAGTTTTAAAAGTACATTATTTATATATTATTTGCAAGTTATTTAATTGAATTTGCTCTACTAGAACGAGTGTTAGAACATTTTAAAAATATACCGTTTTTATTATAAAATTACTATGATAAATTCTTTTAATAAATTGATCAACAAAATTTTAAAAATCTTAAATAGTGGGCCAATATAGTGCTGCCCTATGATAGTTAATCATTTAGTATCTAACACCCCATACTTCTATCATTCCAAGAAAGTTTACAAATGTATTTTTTACTAATATGTCTTATAATCGCGTATCACGTGATTATATATAAGCCTCAGCTAGGGTGTCCAGGATTATGATGCAAAGATAGCCAAATTATGCATGTAACGGATCATAAATTATGCGAATTATGCGAATTTTGAGTTATTAGCCAATAAAATTTCAAAAAGAACGACAAGTCAGATGATTACAGCCACAGAGACAAACCTTGGTTTATTCATTTAACCAATCAATTTTGTTCACATGCTGCATGAAAGCGCAAATTAGGCGCATATTATGTCACATCATAATCCTAGTCAGCCCCTTTTGTTTGATCGTGCTACGTTACACGTAATCTCGAATTTTGATTGGTCGGCCATTATAAGTCAGGAACAGTGATTATATGTGGTGACAAAATCAAAATCAAAATTATGTGGTGATAAAGTTCAAATTATGTGATGTGATGTGAAACATATTTGTCAGTATACTTGGTCGAGTTATGTGTGATTCTGTAATATTCGTGACCAAATTTTTGACGCAACTTTTCGAACTTCGTTTCAAAAAATTCTCATAGCCTTGCTCGTAATTTGAGTTCGTTCAAATTCTACATCGGAAGATACCGGATCCATTAGACTTTATTCATTGCCTCAATAAATTGCCAATTATGTGTCAATTCTTGTAAATTACTACATTATGTGATATTCTGCTGTGATATATACACATCATATTAAGTGATATAGGTATATTTATGTGAGTTATGTGAAACACATAAAATCACTATCCCTGGTATAACTAATTAAGTCCTAATTATATTATATAGTATATATATCTTTTAATGATCATTTATCGACCCCGATTGACCAATCAGAATTCAAGATCAGGTGTAATTGTCGTGATTGAAGTTGGGATCCGACTAAAGTTGGAACTTCAGTTGACTGAAGTTGGCACCTGCCTAAAACAGCTAACTAATGCGTGCAGGATGATCTAATTTCAGGGGCAACTTTAGTCGGATCCCAACTTTAGTCACGACATCGAGACGAGGCTAAATTGGATCACTATACGTATTAAGTTATTTGTTGAAAGATAGTAACCTCCGAAAATTTCGCCTGTAATTTTGCTTCCGATTTATTCCGCCTGCGCAGTTTTCAATCCCTAATGATAACTCTATTTAAATTACTAAAAATATAATTTTATTTAGTTATTTAGATATAATAAATTTTTAATACGTAACTTAATGTAACGTAATCTGTTTAAAACTACATGCCTTTTGAATAAATTATTTAACAAATTACAGGGGTGTAGCAATATCGAAAAAATATAAAAATGTTTATTATATTACAACAACTATATACTATTATACTTGTCTAAAATAAATTGTCATAAAACAAAAAATTTTTTGAGCGTTCGTAAATTTTGTCTGCAGGTAACGCAAAACGAAAAATTTAACTTTGTATGGCCTTAAAATAGGTTTAATTATTAGCATAATTCACAACAATTAATTTTCATGAATTTAAACTAAAAATTCGGATAACAATCATTTCATTGCACAATCACAATCATGGGTACCAAAAATCAATTGTGAAAGTAAAAGTTATAAAATTTATACTACGGTATCATTGGAAGTATTATTTTCACTTGTATGCTGTTTTAATAGTTCATTTTCAGAGTCCTTGCTGTCTTTTTCAGACTGTTTTGATGGTTCGCTTTCAGAGTCCTGGTTATCTTTTTCAGACTGTCTTGATGGTTCATTTTCAGAGTCCTGGTTGTCTTTTTCAGACTGTTTTGATGGTTCTCTTTCAGAGTTCTGGTTATCCTTTTCAGACTGTTTTGATGGTTCACTTTCAGAGTCCTGGTTATCTTTTTCAGACTGTCTTGATGGTTCATTTTCAGAGTCCTGGTTGTCTTTTTCAGACTGTTTTGATGGTTCTCTTTCAGAGTTCTGGTTATCCTTTTCAGACTGTTTTGATGGTTCACTTTCAGAGTCCTGGTTATCTTTTTCAGACTGTCTTGATGGTTCATTTTCAGAGTCCTGGTTATTTATTTCAAACTGCTTTAATGGTTCATTTTCAGAGTCTTGGTTATTTATTTCAGACTGTTCTAATGGTTCACTTTCAAAGGCTTGGTTATCCTTTTCAGACTGCTTTAATGGTTTACTTTCGGTGTCTTGGTTATCTTTTTCAGACTGTTCTAATGGTCCACTTTCAGAGAAAGTGTTATGATTAGCCTTTTCACACTGCTTTGATAGTTCACTTATAGTATTCTGGCTATCATTTTCAGAATGCTTTGATAGTTCACTTTCAATGTTCTTGTTATCTTTTTTAACATCTACTGATTTTATGCCTTGATTATTTTTTTCAGGATCTCCTATGCAGAATACAAATCTCCTGTACCTGTATATTATTATACTTAAAACTAGAAGCAAGAAAATACTACAACTAACAGTTATAATTATAAGTTTGTGATTCTGAGGTAAAGCATTAAATATCGATGTTGGTCCTGTTGGTCCTTCCGGATTTGGTAAATTAGGTGGGGGGACATATGTGTCAATAACATAATATGCCATTATTCCTTGATATGCGGAATTATAATCAAGCGCAACCTTTAAATTGATAATAAATTTATAGGATGAATTAATAAACTAATATGTGTGCATATAAATTGTAAGTGAAAATGGAACTTAAGTGGATTTTGAGTAAGTTTAGTATTTTATAATAAAATCATTTATATAAACGAACTCTAATTCTAATCTTAATATGTGTTTCCACTTACAAAAAGCAACACGTTAATAAAATACCTCAGATTGATCAACATTTGCTCTTGAATCTTCATATGAATCATTCTGACTCGGACCACCTACAACAGCTCCATATAAAGGATACTTAGTATTTACTGGGTCACTCAAGTTTGCTACGTTTGTTCCTCCATGCGCGCCAGCATGATGAGGATTTTTAGGGGAGTTTGGATGAACAGCCACAACATAAAACATTTTCATAGGATTATCACCGAATAAATAATTAATTTGTGAGGTTACAAAGTTTTTATATGCATTAGTTTTCTCAACAGTAGTCGCGTAAGAAGAATACATTAGATATCCAAAGGCACCATAAAGAGCAATAGGTAATGATGCTGCTTGGCTATCACCACACCATAGAAGTCCACCCTTTGTATGAGTACAATTATTTTTATTTGACATAATTCCATCCAAGTAATGTTCAGTTTCATTAGCCCAAAAAGTGAAATTTGCAATTGTACTTGCATTTGCATTTACTCTATTAGCGAATATCTGAGAAAACAAAATGTTGCAAGCACCCTAAATATTATTAAAATAAGAATGAAAGTTGGAATATTTAATAAAAAACAAAAATCTACAGAATAAAAAATTGAAAAATATTTAACTGTTTGATCATCCCATGACATAACTCTTGAACTATTCTGTAATCTGCCTATGTTATAATAATTTACTGCTTTAGTTAAGTATTGAGGTTGATTAGTGGCGCGGTATAACCAAAGAGCACCATAAACCAATTTGTCATAAAATGTAGAAGTCCTATATCCACGGCTTTCAGGGACAGACGTTGTAGCTAATACTAGAGTTTGAAGTTCGGAAAAATTATAAACGCTTATAGCATGAGCTATTAATGTTTTTGCATAGGCAGTATCATTAAGAAAATCTCGAAATAGAATTGCTGAGGATGCAAAGGCTGCGGCCGTTTCTGCGGCGATGTCAGTACCATGCGCCGTTGAATTAATATCATAAGCGGGACGTGGATACGAAAGACTATTTATCGTTATATTTATCGTTGTCAAAAAAAATAAATAAAATAAAATAAAAAATAAAATAAATATAAAAAAATAAAGTGATACTAATTAAAAAGATGATTGTATGCTATCATACTTAGTATCAGGGCCCCAATGTGAATTATCAACTTGAGTTGAACCGACTTGAATGAAAAGTTGATCAGGTTTAGGATGAGCGGCTATTAACCAATCAGTTCCCCATTTGACCATGTCATATAGATATCCAGTTTGATTTGAAATTCGATATCCATCAAACCATTCGATTGCTCCCCTAAATGAATATATAATTTAAAACCAAACAGAAAATAAGAGAATCAAGAGTTTTAAGCAAATTAACAAATCACCATGAAATGAGAGACAGTGACCATGACAATGGTAAAGTAAACTTTACGTAATCACCTATAGAATGCAGTTATGTAATTGTTCATAAAATCGTTTGATCATAAATTATAAGAAAATATACCTGCATCATAGTAGCCCTGAAAGATATTTTTTTAATTAAATCAAATGATTAAATCATACTGATACGTATAAGTGCCGCCAAAGAAAAACCTATTATCGGATATATTTAAAAGCTCGATGACAGATTTTCTCTCGGTGGCATCCGTATATAATGACGAAACTCACTCTACTTAAGTTTACACCTTTCTCTTTCCCGTCATCAAGTGCGGAATTATGTCTCCTGATGGTTAAAATGAAAATTGATGAAACTTTTGATTCGAGGAAACAATTATATAAAAGTTAAACTTACCAGGGTACTCGATTGTTCGGAGGCAAGACTCCACTTCTTTGAGCT